GTAGGACCATTGGGGCTGATTAGGTCATGAAGGTGGAGCCCCCTTGAGTGGGACTAGTACCCTTATAAAAGAGGTCCCAGAAAGCTAGTTAGCCCCTTCTGCCACATGAAGACATGGGTAAAAGATGCCACCGATGAGAAAAAGTGTTGTTACTAGATACTGAGTCTGCAGGTGCCCTGATCTTGGACTTCCCAGTCCCCAGAAGTGTGAGAATATATATTTTTGTTGTTTATAAGCTATCCAGTTGATGATGCTTTAACAGCCCAGGCAGACTACAATACCACAACCCAACACAACACCAGAAAATGTAATTGTTTTCCCTCAACCATAATGAGTATCTGTCACCTGGATAGGTGTGTTGAGTGCATCATCCAGCAGTCTATACAGAATCATTTCCAGTATCAAAGTATAATAATTGTGCTTATTCTTTGTGCTTTTGTTGGTTCTCCGGAGCAATACCATTGGGGATGTTTCCCCAACACAATGAGATTGGCAATTGAGTCACCTGTTTGTGAAAACTACACTTTTGTGAACCTTTAGCAGATCCATTCGTTGCCATGTTCAAAGACTCTGGATTTTCCTGAGCATCTTGTGATGATAACGGATGCATCTGAAGTAGAGCTGGGAACTATTCTTTGCCAAGAGTTGGGAAATACAGGCTGTGTTTGTTGTCTTCCCTATAAATGTAAGTTGTTGTCTTTTCATGCTTCATGTTTCCTGTCATTTCTGTGTTGAATTCCTATGTACTCTCTTAAATGCTGTCTTGGAAGTGTGATTATCTACTTGCTATTTTGCTTCTTTTTTGTGGAGGAGGCAGATGCCAGATGCTTCTAGTCAGCCATCTTGAAGCCCCTCTGAAATGTACTTTTATGTAAATAAGGAAGATAGAGAAACTTATCAAAAATAACTTTTAAAATTACCTAACATTTCTGGTGCTTTCCAACTGTAAAATAAAGTGGTTGAACAAGATGATTTATAAGACCCTTCTAACCAGACAATCTATTATTATAGAGTGTATGGATTATAGACTATATGAGTCCAACTGAGAGGATATGACTTGGACTAGTGGGCTCAGGTAAGAGAGAAGAGAGCAGATGGATTCAAGAAATATTTTAGAGTAAAGAACAACAGGACATTGAAAAATGCTAATCTTTTCTTTAGTTCTACTTGTGGATACTGTGTCACCAGCAATTCAGTTAACATCAAACCTAGTCCAAATGCTCATTGCATTATGGTTTTAATAAGGTAAAACTTTAGTGTTTGATGTTGTGTTATGATATCTAATAAGTAATTATCACCTAATTCAGAGAGTAAGTCAAAAGTTATTTTATCAGAAATGAAAAAGGAATAAATAATACCTTTTTATGAATGCTCCTTTGACAACAGAGGCAGAGGCATGATGGTACAGGGGAAGGACCATTGGTTTTAGAGCTGAGTCACCTGTGCTTAAATTCTGACTCTGCCTTTACCTACTTATATAACCTTAAACAAACCACTTAACTTTTCTAAACTGTAGTTTCAAATGGAGATAATAATCTCTTCTTCACAAAACATTTTTAAAAATGAAATAACTGATATCTACTCATAATTGATGTTCAATAATTTCTTGTTTTCTCAACTTACAAATAGCCATTCTAGTAATCTACACTCTTCAGATTGTTTGCTAAACCTCAGAAATGTTTTTTAAAATTAGAAGAATTTGACTCAATTCCCTGAATTTCTAGGTGAAGAAATCACAGTGGTAAAAAGAAATCACAGTGGTAAAAAGACTTGCTTGAGAACACAGAGTTTACTGGGGGACTGGAACAAGAACTATTTTCTCCAAACACCTAGCATCTTTTCAATTTACCACATTGCTTCATGTGTACTCTCTGTCATGTTTAATGGAATATTTTATAAGATCTCCACATATCCATTTTTATCTCCTAAAGCCTCAAGAGGGTGATGATTAATAGCGACCTTATGTTCTCTTTGCTAGTTATACTCTACAGGAAAACTTCCTGGAACCAGAATGGCAGAGTTAAAAGCCAAGTATACCTTGCTGCATGACACTGTGATCAGGTATGCTGTTTACCAATGTGGAGACATGTCTGATCATCCTTAAATTTCTTACTCATGGTGAGACCTATCTTTTACATTCATCCCAAAACAGACCCTGAAGCAAGGATCTGAGAAGTGATGATGCAAAAAAGCATCATAAGAGGGTAAAGATGTGAGACTGGACAGGGAGGAATCCAGCTGGAGATCTGTTCATCTGCGGGTTTACACGATGGGCTACTGGGCTCAGTCTCACAGAGGAGCCTCTGAGTGACTGCAGAACGCACATACAACTCTCCCACCGAGGATTGATGAAACTGGGATTATTTGCCCATTTCCACCCCTCATTGACTAAGGATTGCCCCTAGGGAGATTAGCTCCTGGCACTTCTAGCTTGCCCTTAGAGAAGCCAAGCAAGCTCCTATGGCCAGAGACAGCTCTCCGGCAGAGGGACATGGATGCTCTGGTAACTGTCCACCACAGCTACAGGTAAACAAGGGGATGTGGATGGACACTGACAGTGTCTGCTACAGAACACTCCTGCAGGACTCTTCTCCCCACCTCTGTTCACCACTCAGAGGCATAGATTCTACAGCAACCCCAGTCTATGTCTGCTGAGACTCTATCTTTACTTCTTTTTTTTTTTTTTTATTGAGTTGGAGTCTCACTCTGTCGCCTAGACTGGAGTGCAGTGGCCACTCCCAGCCACCGCAGCCTCGATCTGCTGGGCTCCGGCGATCCTTCCGCCTCAGCCTTCCGAGTAGCCGGAATTACAGGCATACGCTATCACGCCCGGCTGATTTTTTTTTAATTTATTGTAGAGATGAGGTCTCGCTGCCCAGGTGGGTCTCGAACCTGCAGGCTCAGGCAATCCACTCACCTCAGCCTCCCAAAGGCACGGGATTACAGGCTGAGCCACCGAGCCCGGCTATCTTTACTTTTTATCTCCTCCCCATACCTTGCCAAGTCCTGGCTAGCAGCAGGTCAGAAGAATAGGCTACCACAGAATAGTCCAACAAGGTTTCCTGGGCACTGGCTGTTAGCCATTGGGAATCAAGGGGGAAAAGAAGTGAAGAAAGAAGGGAGAATCTTATTGTGCTGTGATTCCTTACCCCTCCCAAATCTTGTTCTTCCTTTCCCCACATCCTGCCTCATAGCCTTACATGGTGTCTTCATCAAAAGCCAAGAAGAAGGGTCAGGTGCGGAGGCTCACATCTGTAATCCCAGCACCTTGGGATGGGGGGGGTGAGATGGGAGAACCTCTTGAGACCAGGAGTTCAACACTGCCTAGGCAACAGAGTGAGACTTTGTCTCTACGAAAAGTTAAAAACTTAGCTGGGTGCGGTGGTGCACACCTATAGTTCTAGCTACTCGAGAGGCCGAGGCAGGAGGATCACTTGAGCTCAGGAGTTCAAGGCTGCAGCAAGCTATGATTGCACCACTACATTCCAGCCTGGGTAACAGAGTAAGATCCTGTCTCTTTAAAAAAAAAAAAAGTGGGGTGGGAGGGGACAAAGAGAGACAGCAACGGATATAAACTCCATCCTACTGCTCTCCAGCCATCCTCTTCCCCTAGTGCCTGCTTCTTATTTGTCCAGAGCCATTTAGTTACCCTGAAGGTGAGAACAGGAGCATGTGGGAAGAGCTGCATCCCTGGGCAAACATCAGGTATCCCCTCCCCACACTTACTTAGTTCCACCCAAGCTCCACACAACCCTCCAGAGCAGGAAGCCTTGGCTCCTCTACCTCGCTAGCCCAAAGTCAAATCCTCACCCTCACCCCTACAGCAACTCCACTTTCTCATAGTTGGTCCTGCCTGCCAGTGTATACTCATAGCTCTCAAGACTCAGAAATTTTGAGGCTTTAAATGGAAAGGCTGGAGTAATCTTTTTTGACATGCTTCACACTGTTTAACTGGGAAAAAAAACTACCTGGAGTTCTCAGGGCATCCCTCTGAGCCTCTTTGCAGATACAAGGAATATTGGAGCGTTTCTCACCCTCTGAAAAGCTCTTATCTAGAGCCCAATGGAGCTCTGTAGGGTGCTCTGACTTGACTTCCTTCTCCCAGACCCACAACTCAGCACCCCCGGGCCCCAGTGACAAACAGAAATGCAGGACCCTGACTATGGTGTCATTTCTTCCTGCTTCCAGGTTGTGTTGCAAAACAGATACTTCCCTTCTGCTACCCACATTTTACCTCCTCTTGACCCCTTAGTTCCCTCTCTTGCTATTACAGGCACCTACCACCCTCTCTTACTCCTATTGCCTGCTGGATAGGAAAGACATGAAGAAGTGGACTCTCTGTTTGTGCTGCTGGGCTGCAGACAGGCTGATCTAGGCTGGAAATACTGAACTGAAACTGAATGAATTTTCCATAGAAATCACTATATGAGTTGTTAAATTCTCTTTGCTGACACTATATTTCAAGTATATTTCAAGCCCTTTGTTTTCTGGCTAGAACCCTAACCATTGTGTCTTCTTCTTTCTGTGGGAAAACAGGCACTATGGCCTGAGTTAGCATCTTACAATTCTAACAGTTGAATTCCAGCATATTAAGGAGATCAGATAACTTTAGATTTACAAAGTATATTAGCATACAAGGAAATTGAAGCATAAGAGAACAACTTCAGCTTTCACTGATAGAAATTATTTGTGCTGTCATTGTAGCTATTGTTGCTATTTGGTACCTAACATAGTACACTAGGACATATTACATTGCAGTAAATGTTTTACTGGGATGCTATTGAGCCAATAGCATTTCAAAGCCTGGGGAAATGGGTGCAGCTGATAGCTTCAGTTGAGACAGTCTTGATCTAGTCATTAGGCAACTCTGCAATGAGCTGAAACCTGAAGAGTCTTTTAGTGAGAAAACTTGGTGGAGAACGAACACCAAAGGAGAGTACCGACTTTGAAACAGGAAGTGGCAAGGACCTGCTTCTGAATAAGAAGGTGAGGGAGCTAATGTGAGGGTTTCTGGGAAAGTTGAATCATGTCCACTAGTAGGGCAGGGACATATGCTATTTTGCAGCATAGGGGAGATCTAGAAGATACTGGGGATTCCACCAAGCCCAATTTCTACATCATCGGCCAAATGTTTTGCCCCTTTCCCTAAATAGAGCCAAGGCCATAGAATATACTTGGGGTTGTAGGAATCCCTCTCCACTGTGACATTCAAGTCTAGCTCTAGCCAGGCATCCAAGTTAGGATTGGAAATCCATAAATTGGCCGGGCTCGGTGGCTTAGCCTGTAATCCCGTGCTTTGGGAGGCCGAGGTGAGGGAATTGCCTGAACCTGTGGGTTCGAGACCCACCTGGGCAATTTGGCTAGACCTCATCTCTACAATAAATAAAAAAAATTAGCCAGGTGTGGTAGCACGTGCCTGTAGTTCCAGCTACTTGGAAGGCTGAGGCGGAAGGATCGCCCGAGTCCAGCAGGTCGAGGCTGCGGTGACTGGGAGTGGCCACTGCACTCCAGTCTGGGCAACAGAGTGAGACTCCAATTCAAAAAAAAGAAATCTATAAATTAATTTATGTCCACAATTTTATAGGGGAATTTTTATTCCTAGTTTCTCAGTAAAGTGCCATTAGGGAAGTTTCTGTCTTTTATTAGTTCACTAGAGGGGGAAAGATTGTCCTACAATTATGTCATGAGAATTCAAGAAAGCCAAAGAAAGAACTCGCTCTTTCCCTATTACCCCCTCCTAGGAGGTCTTAATTGTGCTCCAAAGTCAAGTGCAAATATCACATTTTCATTGAATTTATCATTTCTCTGTCATCTCACACTGTCTTGATCTAGATACCAGTGGTGTACTTGTCACCTAATATTCTATCTATTTACATCGCTTTCCGTCTGCTAGACTGTGGGCTTCTTGAGGTCAGGAGCTGAGCCTTACTCACCTCCAGCACCTAGCATAGTACAATCGTCCCTCAGTATCCATGCAGGCTTGGTTCCAGAACCACCTGCAGACACCAAAATCCACAGGTGCTGATATAAAATGGTGTAGTATTTGCATACAACCTATGCACATCCTCCTGTATACTTTATTTTTTTTTATTTTTTTTTTTATTTTTTTTTGAGTTGAAGTCTCACTCTGTCGCCCAGACTGGAGTGCAGTGGCCGCTCCCGGCCACCGCAGCCTCGACCTGCTGGGCTCCAGCGATCCTTCCTCCTCAGCTTTCCAAGTAGCCAGAATTACAGGCGCGCGCTACCACACCCGGCTAATTTTTTGATTTATTGTAGAGATGAGGTCTCGCCTGCCCAGGCGGGTCTCAAACCCGCGGGCTCAGGCAATCCACTCACCTCAGCCTCCCAAAGACGCGGGATTACAGGCTGAGCCACCGAGCCCGGCTCCTCCTGTATACTTTAAATCATCTCTAGATTACTTATAACATCTAATACAGTGTAAGTGCTATGTAAATAGTTGCTATACTATATGTTTAGGAATAATAACAGGGAAAAAGTCTGTGCATGTTCAGTACAGACACAATTTTTTAAAAAAGTTTTCAGTCTGTGGTTGGTTGAATTCATGGCTGTGGAATCCACAGATATGGAAGGCCAACTGTACTTGGCACAAAAAATGTCACCGAGTTGAACTGAGCCCAGGAATAGGCAGCAGCTGTCCTCACTACACCCTGCACAGGAGCCACTAAAGGTATTGTGGGTGTTCACGTCTCGTTATGCAAATCTCTGTTTTCCTGGAACCCAGTACACAAGAGTCAGAAGTCCAGCTGCTGCAGGACGCCAAACGCTTCACTGAGCAAATACAACAGCAGCAGTTTCACCTGCAGCAAGCTGATAATTTTCCAGAAGCATTCTCCACAGAGGTCTCCAAAATGAGAGAACAACTTCTCAAGTATCAAAATGAATATAACGCAGTGAAGGAAAGAGAGTTCCACAATCAGTACAGATTAAATAGGTAAGTACACAATTCTCTCAAGTGCACTGAAGACAAATCCGAGCAAAGCTGTCTCCACATAAATAAAATTAGAAAAAGCAGACTAAATTAAGAAGTAATTTTACTGACAAGGAGAATTAGATAGCAATGTGACGATGATTATGTGCCTGGTTCTTCCCTTGATTCTCTAGAATGGGCAGTCACTGAACAAAGAGGTTACACAACTTCTAGGAAAAAGCACAGGTGACAGAGATCCCTGCTGTGTTTTTCATATGTCAGGAAAGCCATAGACATTGAGAGCTGCAGCCAAAGAGCAAGGACTTGGTGCTCTTTTGTCCTCTCCCTGCCCTGGCCATGGTCCCTCATCCTGTGACTGTGGCATTACTAGAGCATCTGTCTACATAGCAAGGGTCTCTCCCCACACGCACTTCTAAATGATCCTCCGTGAGCTGAGGGTCACATGTGGCTCACTCGGTTCTACTAACATAGCAACAGCAGCACCACATATTCACCCTTTGTCTCCTAACCTATTACTAACCTATTCCTCAGAATCGAGGAAGAAAGTTATCCTTTTGGAAGACACACTTGCTTATACAAACCTTGAGGATGTCATTTAGTGAACTAAGTCAGGCATTTATTGCTAGAAGGGCAAATATTATTTTCCACATCTTCTCTCACATTCCTTCTGTGGAGTAGCAAGTCAGTGGAGGAGTTTGTTCAGCAAGTCACACTATTTAGATTGCATTTGAAAGTGATTGCAAGTCAGGTTCTGTGCTATGGTATGCTATGTGCTGTGCCTGGGTACAGGAGAGAAAGCCAATCCGTGTCTCCTAGAATTTGTTACCATTTAAGGTGGCAGACTTTCTCTAGCTGTTTGTAAGAGTAGGTAGATTTCTGACAGTGCAAATATAATTCAGTCCTGCCTAGAGATAAGCAAATACTTGAGTGACCTCTCAAAGATTTTACAAGCCCTGGTCCTGAATCCTCTTTATTTTATTTTATTTTTTCAACTGGGCAAGGGGAGGTGGATGAAGAAGGTCAGTTTAATCAAGAGAATTCTATTCAGGGCAAAAAGTTGGAGATTTTTTGGTCCCTCAGTATAAACTTGTTTCAGGCTCACTAGTGAGATCTATAAAAAGAAAGCCTAACTATTTCTGTGCTCTGTAAGCACTCTTTCAGCTGAGCAAATAATGAAATTAAAACAATCAGTGGTTGTTCATTAGTATTGAAAATATGAATGCTTGACATTTTCATGAAAGGGTAAGAGGAACATAAGTCAGTTGATATTTAAGTTGTTTAAATTTTCCAAGTATTCCTGCCAAGGAAAAAGGAGAAAAAAAGACCAGCACTGTTGCCTTTTAGGTATAGACAGACAAATTGTTCACTGGGATAGGGAGGGGATGGTGCATAGAGATCTACAGTGAAGAAGAACATTCAAAATGCACATTTGCAGAAATATTTAGTGTGTATTCTTTTTGTATTTTCAATGTATGTTTTTTTAGCTTGAAGAGATTCCTTCTGCTCTCAAATATTAGCAACTTAAGACTTAACAAACTTATTTTTATAAAAGTAACAGTGATACCAAAAGAAATATCAAGAAAGAATTATAGGCTATGTATTTCACTGGCTTCACACGTTTAATATTACAGTCATGTGCCACATAATGATGCTGCAGTCAACGATGGACTGCATATACAAGGGTGGTCCCCTAAGATTATAATGGAGCTGAAAAAGTCCCATTACCTAGTATTTACTATACTATACTTTTTATTTTTATTTTAGAGAACACTTATTTTTTTAAAAGCTAACTATAAAACAGCCCCAGGCAGGTGCTCCAGAAGGTATTCCAGAAGAAGGCATTGTTACCGTAGAGATGATAGGTTCATGTACATTTTTGCTCTCCAAATACCTTCCAGTGAGACAAGATGTGGAGGTGGAAGATAGTAATATTGATGGCCTGTGTAGGCCTATGCAAATGTATGTATTTGTGTTTTCACTTTTAACAAAAAAAAAATTAATCAAAAAAGCTGAGTGTGGATATGAAGAAAAACATATCTTTGTATTGTGTATGATGTGTTTGTGTTTTAAGCTAAGTGCAGTTATGAAAGAGTCAAAAAAATTTTTTTAATTTATACATTCTTAAAGTAAAAAAGTTACAGTAAGCCAAGGTCAATTTATTATCAAGGAAAATTTGTTTTATAAATTTAGTATAGCCTAAATATACAGTGTTTATAAAATCTACAGTAGTATACAGTAATGTCCTGGCCTTTATACTTATTCTCCACTCACTCCCTAACTCACCCAGAGCAACCTCCAGTCCTATAAGCTTCATTCATGGTAAGTACCCTATTCAGATGCGTCATTTTAAAATCTTCTGTCCTATATTTTTATTGTGCCTTGTCTATGTTTAGTTATATAAATACTTACCATTGTGTTATAATTGCCTACAGTATTCAGTACAGTAACATGCTGTACAGGTTTGTATCCTAGGAGCAATAGTCTATAGCCTAGGTGTATAGTAGGCTATACCAACTAGGTTTGTGTAAGTTCTCTCTACGACGTTCACACAAGGAGGGAATCATCTAACAATACATTTCTCAGAAAGTATCCCCATTGTTAAGCAACAAGTGACTGTACATAGTACAGAAACAAATTCACTCAACGCCCACCACCCCCCAGGAAAAAAGTGTTTCCATCCCCACATAAAAATAAAGAAATGAAGCCAGTGAGAGAAAACTATTCATCCAAATTTACAGATGATATTTGTCAGACCAACACAACAAACTCTTATTGAGTGTCTAGATAATAGAAGCCCAAATGACAAACACCCCTCCACCCAATCTCTTTAGGAACTTCTGAATCATTGGCAACTGCTAAGAATAACATATTGTTCAAATACTCTAGACAAATCTGACTCTAATTTTGTTGATTTCTCATGTTTTCACATATGCCCTTTAATAAATAATAATGGTAAGTATAATTATGTAGTTGGTGGTTTGATTACTAAGTCAAATCTATGTTACACTAGTTTTCATTTGGGGGTTAATATTCATTCCTGACCTCTTAACAAATATGCAGTTCCAGAAAGAATATGTAACTTACTTAAGTTAAATAAGTACATTATAAATAAATAGTGAAGTAATTAAATAAATACTACTGATGACTTATTTTTGTAACAAAGTGGAAGCAATGATTTTTCTACATACTTTCTCTGAAATGACTTTCCAATAGTCTCTTCAACCTTTTCCTTGCTTTGACTTTTGGGGCTTCCCTGTTTTCTAGAAATTCCTAAAATTGGACAGCTAATGCATTGTGTCTCTCATGCTAAATCTGATGCATTCTGACAAGTCTTGGTCGGCCTGGAAACAAGGCCACGTCAGTTGGCTCTGTCTGTTGCAGTGTGAGTGTGAAGAGCGGGGGGGCCGCTCAGGCTGCACAGGTGCAGGGCTGTCCCGACATGACCCTGACCTCAGTGACTATTTACTCTCCCATAGCTGGTTCCTGTTGTCCTTGTTGTTGTTCACACAGGTTTTATTCGTTGTTTTTCATTCATGGTCCAGGAATGACAGCAAAGTTGGACCCAAGAAACAACAAATCCAGTAGGAAAGGAAAAGGATTATTTTAGCAATGCATCTGGAATTCCAGAAAATTAGAATATGACAGAGGGGCATACAGGTACTTGAGACTAGTAGGAAGGAAAGACAGCAAGAGTAGATTTTATCTTCTTAACTTTTGTTTTAATCTTTCTTGTTCCCCTGTGGCAACCGATATCTTAACAGAAAAAGCTTAGAACGGATTTCTCAGAGTGTGGTCCTCAGATAACTAAAGAGAAGCACCTGAGATACTTGTTTAAAAGGCAGAGCCAACCCAAAAAGGAAAGATTATTATTTCTCTTCAAGCCCACCCACCACAGTGACATCTGAATTTTTTACAAGTTTCTTACATGATTCTGACTCACAATAGAGTCTGAGAACTGTTGGTTCCAAAGGAGATTCTCAGCCATACTACCTGTCAGAATCACCTGAGTCGTCTCTCGGTGTTCATTCTATCAAACACGTCCAGTGACAGGGAGCTCTCAGCGTCCCAATGCAGTTCATTCCAACTCTGGAAAGTTCCTACATGTAAGTAGTTCTTGGATTCATTCAAAAACTTACCTTCTTGCGATTTCCACCCACTTGTGCTGGTTCTACTTTTTATGGCAGTTGATGCCTCTCGTACATGTCAGCATCTTAAAGTCATAGTAAATGTTTATGCCTTTGCTCTTAGGGTTTACATAGAAATTGTTGATATTTATAAATTGGTAATAAATTGCTTTCTACATTTTCTCCTTACCCACAGATCCTTAAAACCAAAAACTTTTTAACACATGGTTTCAATTAGGATTACTTTGCTGCAGAAATTAGGTAAATTCTAAGGAGCTTGGACATCGAGGCACTCCGTAGTCAGGAAAACTGAAAAATGTCAATTTTAATATGAGTTTAAAAGCTCAATATATATGAAGAGGCACACACAAAATAATGTTTTTGCCCCAGTAATGCTGTGCAAAAATGATCATCCAAAAAGAGAGAAAAATACATAATACATAAAGAAGTTTATGATATCATTATTTATAAAAGTGAACAATGGAAGCAATATGAATTCTTTAAAAATTGTGGAATATTTAAATAACAATGCACTCTCGAAACATTTTTATACTGAAACCTCTAGGGTGAGATAGAACTGCATTCGTATGTCAGCTTAGCCTTGACTGTGTGACTTTGCAAAAGCTGTTTAATGTCTGTTTCTTCATTTGTACAATGAAGATAATTTCTACTCAGCAAGGTTGTGAAGTTTAGATGTGATGCGTGTAAAGCACCTGGCATATAGTAGTTTCAGTATAGGATAAATATTATTTAGGATTATTTTATTGTGATATATCCATCCAATGGGAAACCTTGAAAATAGCTATTATTTATTATGAAATGTGTTTAGCAACTTAGGAAAATATTTTAATTAAATGTTAGATTAAAATGGATTCAACC